TTTTTTGAGAAGTTTTTGCTATAGGGCACATGCGCTCGCCAGACAGAGAGAGACAGAGAGATAGAAAGCGAGAAAACACCTCCCAGAGGGGATGGCCATCCACAATCCCTTCCCCTCCATTCTCCTCTTGGGATCTTGGGCACACACGCACATGCGCCCGGCATGAGTTTAAGCCACCGGGTCCGAGACTCGAACCGCGGTCGACTACGTGGGAGTCCAGCAACATAGCCATTACGCTAACTGCTGGTCCCCAGCATTGGCTTTTTTTTAAGAGAGATTTTTACTATACGGTGTGTGCACTCACCAGAGACACGAATCGATAGACAGAAAGTCAGAAACCACCCCCAAGGGGGATGGCCATGCCAAACTCTCTTCTCCTCTCAGGATTTTGGGCATGTACCTCACGTGCCTGGCATGAGTTTCAAGCCGCAGGGTCCAGAACTCAAAGCACAGTTGGCTATGTGGGTATCCAGTGCCTTAACCACCACCTGCTGGCCCCTTTGTAAAGTTTTTGCCAAAGGGTGCAGAGAGAAACAAAGAGAGACAGAGAGGAAAAGTAAGAAACCACTCCCCAGAGGAGATGACCAGGCCACAATCCCTTCTCCACCATTTTCCTCTCAGGATTTTGGGCATGCATGCATTATGTGCCTGGTGTGATTTTCAAGCCACCAAGTCTGGGACTTGAACCACTGTCAACCATGGGGGAGTCCAGCGCCTTAACCACCACACCACCTGCAGGTCCTGAGGTGTGTTCATTCCATCTCCCACCCTGGGCCCCATCAGCTGAGGTGGCGCTCCCTCCACACTATCTGGAGACAGTCAGGTCCTAGGATGTGCACCGGAATTTGTGGGCCTCCACAGGGACTGGAAAACCTCTCCATTGTTAAGAACATTGTTTCTTTCTTTATGATGGAGAGACTCAAGAAGCCACTCCTCTTGGGTTTACTCTATTAGAATAATCCTAAGAGTGGATCCTCCTGTACCAGCCATTCTTCTTCCTTCCATCCTTTTCAAACTACAGAGAGAGCCTCTGTGTATCACTAGGTGATGGTTAGACTGGAAAGGGCTCCCTTTTACCTTACACTGGACATAGAGGTGATTCAAAATTCCCATTTATCAAGCAGGCAATGTCCATACACAGGCAAAGGGAGATTCTGCCTCCACCTGCAGGACGTTTTAGAGACCTCCAGGGCCTCCCCACTCCATCCTCACTGCTTCCAGGTGAAGACAAGCTGCTGAGGCAGAGACTCGCCAGGCATTGAGGGAGAAGGTGAGTGTGTTAATGCCTCTCCCAATGCAAGCCTTTAAGTAAAAAATATCTGCATTTTAAGGAGTGTCTTTAAGTAAATGAATACAAGGAAAAGAGTGTGTTGGCGCCCTGCCCCTGCGTGGATGTCTGACCCTGCAGAACTGCCACAGGCCAGAGGCTGCTGAGAGCTTTCCCCGCCCGCACCTTTGCATTCTAGGTGTGCTCAAGGCTGTCTAGGTCTGAAAGGCCAGAGAGACCCCCGCTGCTGTCCTGTCCCTCTTTCAGCACCCACCTCACCCCCCCCCCACTCAGAAAAGTGCAAAGCGGGCAAAGTCAGGCAAAACTGGTTAATGAACATTAGAAGCAGCAGCGAAGCAGGAGCCCACTGCGGGCCCACAGGAGGTAAGTGGGCGCGGAGAGGGGTGCAGTCAGTGGAAGGGAGCAGTGCACGCCCTCACGCACACACAGGCGTGCGCCCAAACATGTGTGTGCTCAGACGCATAAGCGTTAACCGGCACACACACAGGTGGACATGCGGGGCACGCTCACAGTCCTGTGGTCTCTCTAACGCACACACACACACACTGTGAAGGGATACAGAGCAGGCGGCTGACCGCGCAAATGCGTACTCCCAGCCCCTGGAGCAGCGCACACCCCACTGGCCTTCAGCCTGGACCCTCACGTCTCCAGGTCAGCTGCCCACGTCCCCAGCAGCCCAGCACCTGCACTTGCGGACAGGCCAGCGGAGGGTGACTGACTCGGCGTGGAGCTCCGCCACACCCAGGCAGACCGAGCGGGTGACAGTGCTTCCTGGACCGCCTAGTCTCCCAGCACTTTGGGAGCCTCAGAGCATCGACGTTCGTTCATACTCAGATGCGCGCGTCCCCCGGAACGTTTGGGCACCGTTTTTCTCACTCCCAATCTTTCCCACCCAACAGGAGAACAGATCCCAGCGGGCCCCGGGCGCGACCCGGCAGGCGGCCAGGGCGCGGTGGCAGCAAGCGGCCCCG